CTAAAGCTGTACCTGAAAAATGAAATGTTTCAACTTGATAAGCACTTTTAGATCTGGGTTATTGTAATGATGTCGTTTGTGATTTTGTTTTATGGTGTTTGTAATTGATTGTAATCGCCTTTGGCTGTAGAAAATAAATGCTATCACTCATAAAAAGACATGACTCAAGGTTCTTTGTTTCAATTATACCCTAACAAGTATCTGTGTGAAAATATGGCATTGATGGATGAGAGGTAGGAAAGAAGTACAGTCAACATAGCCATGTCACACAGTCATCCATGGGCATTGCATATACAGAGGCACAGGCACTGAAGTGGTGCCAGCCCCTGGTAATCATGTCTGTGGTATGATATCTACCATGGCAGAATATAGAGATAATTCACCTCTGTCTGGTGCCAGTGTCCTAAAGAGAGGATGAGAGACATCAGGACTACAGAGGCATGGGTAGCTGAATGAAATGCCTACAAGTTATCACACATCTCTTGTCCCACTACCACTTGTGCATTATCTAAATCCATGACATTTGTGGTTGCATATAGATGGTAGCTTGTTCAGAGATCTGCAGGTGATATAACACAGAAGTTCTTTCAGACAATTGTAAAACCTTGCAAAACCTTTAACCAAAGATCATAATGGGATAGAAAAATGGACAAGTGTACCTACATGATGCTAGTCCTTTTGAGATGTTACAATCACCAAACATACATAACATGAACAAGCATTACCTGCAATCTTCCCAGAGTGCATGGTCATCGTGTGAACAAGAGCATATTAAAGATGCACCTACGGCCTCAGCATGCATGAATGTGAGCCAGTTCACCTGTACCAAAGTTATAAACATACGGTAAATATGTTAGTCACACCTGTTCACACAACATGAAGACTGCGTGTATCAGGAGGATCACAGGGTAGGACAAATTTCAGTTCCATGAGGTTGGCAGGCTCCCAGTAAACATGACTGGAATGTCTGAGAGTCTTCTACCCCTTCGCATACAGCATTCTGGTGAAGAGGCTCAATGTGTGTAGGAAGGGAAGGGGCAATGGCATCGCGACAGCAGCTCCAGCCCTGGACCTGCACTCTTTCACTTGAAGTTGTGTAAAGGTTCTATTAGTGTACATGTATGTGGCTTTCTCCCCATTTGCAAACCTGGCTTATTCAGGGTTTCTAAATACACTTCTGCATACGTAAAGCCTTTACATACCTTTGTGAACTCATAACCAGAGCTTGCTGTCACACAATTGCAGGTTTTTAAATAACCACAAAACTTAAACTGGAGCCAACAGGGAAACAATACCAGACGAAAATGTGTGCACCTACAGGAAATGATGACTCTCTGACACCGTCCTCAAGTCTCTCAGTCTACATCTCATCCTTGGTCTGATGAACTGGAAATGCAAGGGAAGAAACAAATGTACAAATTGCAAGTACACTTGGCAAAGGAATGCACATTCTTCCTGATCGCAGTGATGGGCTAATGACCCTCTCTTTGTAATTTTGCTCTCCAAGTGTGGACCCCAAACTCTCTTGGCATCCTTGTTTATGGCATGTCATTCTTTGGAGTTTTGTTTGCATTGTTCTCTAATTTCTGTAATCCTACTCCTACTGGATTGTTATCGGACAACTTGTCCTGTAAGAATTGTTTTCTATATTGTGTTATCTGTCTCAAGTCTCGGGGAGGGTAGATGGGGCTATAAATGAAGTAAATAGATAAAGTTGGAGCCCATGATGCTAACTTTGGTTCGATATTACACCCTATCGCCTCCAAGGAAAATATGCTACCATGTAGCTGTTTTTTTCCTGAACCAAAACAATTGTTAATGTCAGAATTTCTTATGCTTGTATTTGCATTTATGTATTTGTATCTTAGGGATTTGGACATGCTATTTTTAACCCTCCCCATCTACTGAATAGGTCAAAAGTTGATCCGGGAAGAAATTCAGTGGAGGTGGGGGAGCAGCTACATGCATCCACCTGCTTTGCTGAAGGTGAAAAGAGCTGGGAGTGAGAACACAACATGGGCTTTTCCTCCCTGCTACCATGAGGGGGCTACATGAGACCCAGCCCTGTCTAACAAACCTTGACTCCCCAAAAATGTTTATGATGATACTGTCAAACTGAAATTAAAGCACTGCAAAACTGCCAGCTGCTGTGACTTCTTTCTGCAGAAGGTGGGGGGTCTTTCACCAGTGGAAGAAAGGAGCAGAGCAAGGCTCTACCCATTGTCAGAACAGGCTCATAGGAGTCAACTCCTAGAAACTATGAGCTTGAAAATGGATGAAACGGAGATGCAATCCATAAGGTACAATGGAAGATACAGGCAGGCAGTGGGGAATTTGTAAAGCTTTTCTATGCCTGCACTTTCTCCAAGGAACCACCTCTTTCCCATTTTTCTCACAGTAGGTGTTGCTTACAGCCTTGAAGCTGCCTTATACAGTAGAGGTTGTACAGGGAAAGTGTGGTTCAGATCCTTGGTCCTTCTAGCCTGGTATTATCTACTACTCTCATAGCAGCTCTCCAGGGTCTGAGGATCTTCCCCACTATCTGAGGTCCTCTCTCTGGAGATGACTGGACTTGCAACTGGGACCTTCTGCATGTGCCTGAGCTATGTACATCTCCACTCAGGGAATATCTGCTTGGGGAAAGTGTATTCAGGAGGGATTCAGGGGAAAGTTCAACAGCCCTCACTTACTCATGTTGTGCTTTTAATTCACCACGACCACTCATTTGCTTCACAGGAAGTAAGCACCAGGCAATTTTGACATACGAGTCATAATGCCATGATGCCTATATGTTAGTGTAAGCTTAGACATTATTTAAGAATCTGGAAAAGGACAAGGAATCTACCAAGGCAGGTTGCACTGAAACCTAGAAGACACAAAACCAAAACACAGTATTACTGCTTGCATTATACATTCTATTTTTCCTTGAAAAGGTGAAACACTCATTGCTCACTTACAGTTCAATGTACAAAATGTCTACCTTTCCTCTAGGGCCCTGTGCAAACCTATGGCTGTTTTATTTTACATGGCTGGGGAGAAGAGAAGCTACTGTAAGCCTTGGCAAATTAATAATTTATTATTAAAAAGAGGGAGCTGTTTCCTAGAGAGGCTGGGTGAGTGGTTGCCTGGTAACAGGGCAGAAGGAGGGGGAGAAGCAGAGAGTGGGGTTGAGGCATTTCTAAAAGAGTGGTTCCTGAAGAGAAAAGCCCGTGGAGATGGAGAAAGGCCACGGCCGGGCCATGTGTGTCATAAAATGTAACGCCAGGTAACGGAGATATAAACTTTATGAAGGACAAAGCACAACTGAAGATTTTTTTAAACTTTAAATAGAAACATGCTTAAAACATTAGTACTCTTGCAATATTTTATGAAACACTCTGATAACTGACACCTCTTGGTCTGAATGATTGCATCAAAATGTCTGTGCTGTAGCAATCTTGAGTACGCTGTTCAGGTGTGTCTCTGTAAGCTGCAAACCTACTTTTGTTTTTTTGAAATTCATTACAGAAATCTCATGCTCAGTGTTCTGAGCCTAGGATCCAGGGAAAACATAGAATGGCTGGACATTATGAGCTTTTGTACATAAATTGCTTTGTGTGCTGGTGAAGAACATGAGAAAGCGAACTGGAGACAAGCAGTGACAGTTCCTCCTCTACCTCTGTATCGTTGGGTGAGATCTTTGACTCTGACTCTGAAATGGGAGCAGCTTCTCCTAGATCATATAAGGTTAAAATCCCCTGGCAGAAGAAGAAGAAACGTAAAGGGAAGAAGCCACTTAAATGAAGACCTGAGATTCTTCTTTGTTAATCTTTGCATAATACATAACATTGCTCATATGTGTTACTATAAGTAATTAATATTTGTCTTTTTTATTTGAATACTCGATATTTGAAAGTAAAATAATATACTGTAAGCATAATTAATAGGGAAATATCAAAAGCAAAAATTAGGATATTAGTGAGCCTTACTACTCTGTATTTGTAGTTTGTAGTATGTAGTATTAGATATAAAAGCAATAAAAATTATAACAAAAAAAGAACATGAGAGGGCATCCTGACACAGACGGAGGGCTATGTGTTTGTCTACAAAACTATAGTCTTCCCTAGAGAAATAACTAAAATTCCTATGAGGCAGTACAAGAATAGAGAGACAGCAATGTATCAGTATGAGCCTACTAACTAGGAAGTCTAGGTTCAAAAGCCACAGTCTACCAAGGAAACGTGCTGGGTGAACTTGGTCTTGACACACACTCTCAGCTCACTGGCTTGTTGTTATTCCTCATCTAAATAGTTCACATTGCTTTCCTACTGAGAAAGCCTGGATCATGAGGGCATGAATACAGCGAAAAAGAGGAGGAGAACCCAGCTGCACCCAGGAGAGTCCTGGCATAACCAGTCCAGCAAAACACACAATATAGCAAGGCACACAAAAGTTCATGCCTTGAAAAAACTCTGTTGGTCTTAAAGGTGCTTTGTATTCCTCCCGTGCAATTGAGGCAGCTGCGCAAAGCAAGGCAGGAGGAAGGGGAGGAGCCTCAGCCAATGAAGGGGAAGAAGAAGATACCAGATTTATACCCCATCCTTCACTACCCAGAGGAGTCTCAGAGTGGCTTACAAACTCCTTTCCCTTCCCTCCCCACAACAGACACCCTGTGAGGTAGGTGGAGCTGAGAGAATGACAGAAACTTCTCTTTTTCAAGGACAGCTGTGCCAGAACTATGGCTTGCCCAAGGTCATCCAGCAGGTGCAAGTGGAGGAGTGGGGAATTAAACCCGGTAGTAGAGTCCTCACACTTAACCACTACACCAAACTGGAAGAAAGGCTTGCCTTTGTCTCCTGTGTGATTGAGGCAGCCTGGCCAGGAAGCAAGCTCTGGCTTGTTCCCTCCCTCCTTCTGGGAGGAGGAGGGGAGGAGCCTCAGCCAGTGCAGGGAACAGAAGCTTGTCTATCTATCTCTCCTGTGCGATTGAGAGAGTCTGGTAAAGCAAGTTGTGACGCAGCAGCAGAACTGGAGAAAGAAGCAGGAGACAGCCAGTTCCTTGCGGGCTGGATAGGAGCCCTCCAAGAGCCTGATCCAACCCATGGGTCGCATGTTTAACACCTCTGTTGTATATGCTATGCAGTATGCAAATGATGGGGACTTTCTCATCTAAATGATCCCTGCTCAACTCTTTGGACCATCCCATGGAGCTCCACAGCACTTTAATAGTTGCATCTATAAGAACAAAACCTTAGGAACAAAGAGAAATGCCAAGCTTTGAAAATCAAGTGGCTGATGCTTCCCAGTCTGTCCAGAACTTCCGATCTGGCAGGCAAGATTAGGAGTGCAGCAATTCCTTTGCTCAGGCAAATGAAATGCACACCTGCAGTTCAGATTGTGACTTCACATTTTGTTCACGGCTAGGGACAAGTGCAGTACTAGAAAACATCCATCAAAAGATTGCAGATTCTTTCCCTGCAGGCAGCATCATTCAGCCTTGACTGGTAATGTCTTGTAAGGGTTTAGAATGCCTTTGGGGTCCAGCATGGCCTTGAACTGCTGCATGAGAAGGATAGCCTCCCGTGGCTTACTGTAGTGGATATAATGCTTCTTCTTGAAACCCAGCCCATGTTCCGCGCTGATACTTCCACAATACTGGGATGTCCACTCGTACACATAGGGTTCAATGGCTTCCTGCAGTGAATGACTATAAGACTCTGCTGTGATGTTCAGGTGCAAGTTTCCATCTCCTGCCAAAAGAAACCAGAGCTGGGAATTGGATGGTTTCAAAACAGAAATGTAAGCTGGCTGTGCTATCCAACAGTGCTTCGTATTTCCACTCCATGTTTTCAAGGGGTAGACTTGCTTTCTTCAGTCCTCAGGGATCTTACCTGCTCTCCAGTTAAAGCCAGAGATTCTGGCACTATTTCAGACTGCCCCTTAACCACTCAAAGGTATGAGTCACAATGCAGCAGGGAGGTAAATATACATAAATGAGGTACAATTTCTATCCCATTTTTAGCCCACCCTTTCTCCAAGAACCTCAGAGTAAACAGCTGGCCCCTGATCATGCTACTGCTAGCAAGGGAGGAGGGAAATCTTGTCAGGTTGTCCCTTTAAGGGAGGGGGCAGTCATGTCTATCTTGGTCCTGAGGCGAGAAACAAGAGCTGAACCAAGGTCAGTCTCTCAGCTTATCCACTATGCTACCCTAAATATGAAACAATAAAGGATGCTTTTAAGCACGCTCTCCAACTCACCAAGATGGCCATAGCCCACAACACTCCTGGCACTTCTGCCCAGCCGTGCCCTCAAGTCAGTCACCAGATCATAAAGTTTATCCACAGGAAGGGAAATGTCATATTTGTAAATATATCCATCACATGCTAGGGCCTCTGTGATCCGCTCCCTTAAAGCCCACAGCATCTGTTGTTGACCAAAGCAGCAAATTAGATGGAATCAAAATGGATCTGATTTAATCTGATTTCTTTTTTTACATTCCCTGTGAATGGCTGCGGAAAAATGGCCCATTGCTAGCAATGCTACTGGACTAGCCTTTCATGCTGCTGGGACATAGGTGGGTGGTCAAAAGGACTCATTGATCTTCAAATTACTGTGAACTTGCTCTGAATTTAATGATTCACCAAAAGATAATTTAACACTGTTGGAAATGCCTTTGCAACTGTCAACTTCTCTGTCATGCAGAATTCCTGCTCTTCCAGCCTCATAAAGATCACCAAACGCTTTTCAGCCCCATCTTAACTTGCAGCAATGTCTAGCTGTTAGAATACAGAATTCCTGTCTTGCTGTATGAGATCTTATTTCTGTTGTGTCAAAAAGAGAAAGCAGATACAATTTCAACATAAGCAACACTTACGTAACACCTTTTTTTTTTTAACCAAACTGTACCCAACACAGCAAGCTGTTTGGGAAGGCCACCAGCATTGTATCGTCACAACTTTATCAGTTCTGCTGCCATGGATTACATACCAATCACAAACAGACACAAAAGGCCCTGCTGAATACAAACCTTAAACACACGTGGCTTCTAGTACATGCTAAGAGGCAAAGAGATGATTATGAACACCTTTTATACACACCTGATTTCTGCCTCAAAGATGTCTATTCTGTTCTACCACTTTCATCCTATGCCTTCTCTAAGGAGCTCAGGGTGGCATACAAGAACTTCATGGCATGGCAGACAGGGTGTTTAACTCCTGCTGCTTAATACTGAGGCCAAATCCTCACTTAAAGGTTTTTAATTAGTCTTCTAATTAATAATATGAAATGGGGCTGCCAAAAACTGAACAGAACATGAGCAGTATTAAATAGCAGAGAACAGTACAGTAGCTACAGCTTTTTCCTTTGAACATCCAGCAGTTTGAGACCAGTGGGGAAATAGATGAACATCTATCAGTTCATAGCTCAGATTCAGAAGAGACTGCTGAGACACGTACATCAGTGGAGCAGGGAAATTACCTTTATTTTTTTGTCTTCTGAAGCCAAAGTTCCATCTGCCACCAAGTTGGTGGCCATGACATGTTCCAGGAAGTTGCTCAGTTTTTCTTCATCATGGGCAGAATTAGAACCTGAAGTCTCAATTAAGACATAAAATGGACTTTCTGGAAATGCGAGAGCAGAATTAGTCACAATCAGCAGAAATACATTGTGATGACGATTCAAAATACATATTCTCCCTCTCAATAAAATACTCTCGAGGCAACTTAGAAGAATCAATAAAATATGTGAGATGCCACAAAATCACTCCCATAAAGAAGCACGAGAAAACGTATATACACTACAGAAACCATGCAAAAGTAGTGATGGTGGTGGAAAGTGCCGTTGAGTCACAGCTGACTTATGGTGACCTCATAGGGTTTCAAGGCAAGAGACATTTGGAGGTGGTTTGCCGTTGCCTGTCTTCATGTTACTACCTTGGAATTCCTTGAAGGTCTCCCATCCAAATATTGGCCAGAGCCAAAGCTTCCCAGATCCAACAAGATTGGGCTAGCCAAGGAGCTATCCAGGTCAGGGAATGCAACAGTAGCATCCTGTTTAAAAATCAGCAGCAGAATGTTTTTTTAAAAATGGTAACAGACAGAACATGAAATTAAGCAAACTCCGGAGCACGCCGGAAGACAGGAGGGCCTGGCGTGATGTGGTCCATGGGGTCGCGAAGAGTCGGACTCAACGGTGCTCATCTTAATGTTTGGGAGAATAATAGCATTTGTGTCTGGCACAAAAGCCAAACACCAGAGGAACTTTTGTGGAGAGGTACCTCCAGAGACTTTAGCACCACTACAAAAGGCACTGTCCCTGGTACTCATTCACCTGACTTCTGGAAATCATCAGAAGATAATCTTAGCCAGAGGGCAGGTGGCAATCCTTCAGGGTTTTTAGTATAAATCTTTGTATTATGCATGTAACATTAGTTTTAAAATGTGTATAATATGGGCACAAGTGACTGCCTATAATTTCCTGTACCATGCATACATCAGTTCCATAGTTCAAAATTCATTTGAAGTATTTCCACTGCAGGAAGAAGAAATTGCTAATGTTTATCTAAAATGTCAGATTTTCTTAAAATGAATCCTGCCCAGTGGGTCAGATCAAATGAGGAGGAAAAGACTTTGTACTAAGTGACATCACTGAGCTAAATGTAGTCTTTTCTTTTTTTAAAAGAAATTCTCTAAAGGAGATTTTTAAACATAGCAAAAGCAATAAACAGATGAGTGGGGTCACTTGTCACAGAGTCCTAGTGAACTGTCCCAGCTGGCACTGCCAAAAACAAGTAACAAAATGTGAATCAATAAATCTGAAATCAACACTGAGAGTTGTGGCAGTCATACTGAAATTTACCATGTCTGAGCAAATTCACTGCATGTTCACTCTGAGCCAGGAATATGTACCTCAATAGGCATTATGTCTGATCATGAGATCTGCATTCATGAAATATTTTTAACCCTTTTTGTGCCTGAACAGCATTTGTATTCTTACCAATCCCATAATCACCTTTAATACAAATGGTCGCTCACTGGATGCTCATAGGTATACCAACCCTTCCCCCTGTTCCTCTAGTATAACAGAATTTATAAAACACTGATGTAAATGGCAGGATACAGAACTTCTCCAAGTGAATAATGTACGCACAGGTTATTTGTGCAATTTTAAAAATACAAAACCTAAGATGCAGTGTAACCAGAACCTAGATTATATACCACAACTGGTATATTTCAACTCAGCCATTAGTTTTATGGAAATCTGATGCCTGGGCAAATTAAATTGGTAATGGAATTCCTTCAGTAGGTTTTGTGCATGACTACTTAAGTACCTGCCACTGGGTTGACCAGTTTGAGATGTCTTTTAACTAGCTCCATGCACTCATTGTCCATGAACTCATATGCAGATAGGATCTCTCCTAACATCCCCTTGCAGGTAGTGAAGGTTCTCAGGACCTGAGAAAAACTTGGACAACCTTTGCAGAGACAACAAATCACAAAAAAGAAAATAAGACAGAAGAATTAAAAACTGTGGTGAAGCAATCATGATTTAAAGTATTTCTGAAAGGAAGCCACTTGGTCAGAAAGTACTAGAGGCCAAAGCCCCACTTAAGGGACAAGAAGAAAATGGCAGGTTGTGTTTTGGCTACTTCTAGCTAACCAGTGAGCTCTCTCTTCACAGCACATTTTCCAGGAAGCATGTGTTCCATTCCAAAAATACTGTGAAACACCAGTAATAGCAATCTTAGAGATGGCACCCATTAGAAAATTAGATTATAATTCCTATGCATACAAAATTACTATTTTCTTCCTCAGATAAGCAGTTCTTTAACTGATGAAAAGCAGCTGGTTGGTTCTGCTAATTTCTTTCTCTCTTCTTGCCTTGCACACATCAACCTTCACCTCCATCCACTTTTTTGTTAACAGGTCTAGTTATCACATTTTTGTAATAAGAGCTAATCTCTGAAGGATCACTACAGTTTTACTTCAAAAACTGTTGCATCCAAGTACAGTCTTCTGATACACCATCAAAAGAGCTGTGTTAGCACAAGCCATTACAAACAGCACACCTGAAAGTGAACTGGAGAGATGCCTTTACCAAGAAATGCCAGATTCACAGCTTTGGGTTTCTGTGGACAGAGGATTGACACAGCCGTAACAATTCCCAAGGTCCCCTCTGATCCAATGAAAAGCTGCTTCAAGTCATAGCCAGTATTGTCCTTCCGCAGAGATGCCAAGCAGTTCAGAATGGAGCCATCAGCCAACACCTGGAAGGGGGCACATTTAAACCGATCAGTCATAGGTCTGCTTAAAATAGAACAAAGCAGGCTACAATAAGATTATGTGATCCAATTTACTTTCAGAATTCTAATAGAAGCTTAGTCTATGTTAATGGAACAGGCGAGGTTCATTTTAAAATCTCAGGAAAATCATACCTACAATAGGAGATTATGATTCAGAGAGTAAGAGAAAGGCACACATTGAATGGCAGTGAACACAGACAGACAGGAATAAGACAAAACACAGGCAGCAGCTTTCAGACTTCCATCTTACCGCTTCTAAACCCAGGACTGTCCCTCGGAGAGAGCCATACCTCAGGAGTCGCAATCCACCAGCATTTGTTGCCACATTGCCACCAATATGGCAACTGCCCTTTGCTGCTAAATCAAGAGGCATGATGAAGTCCTGCTGCTCCAGATAGTGGTTGAGGTTTTCTAAGATGCAGCCAGCCTGGCAAACCAAGATCCCTGAAAACAAAGCTTCAAGGTTACACTCTTAACACAAAGGTGCCACTGAACTCAAACTTTGTTCTACTGCTTCAGACCAACACGGCTACCCACCTGACTGACACAAAATACTAATTTGACCAGAGAAGTAGCACAGGGGCTAGAGGCCCTTTTCCCATGAACTGTGATCTTAATCACCCCCTCAAACTTGTATTTGCTCCAAAGCTGAATAAATACATGTGCTATTATTCCTTCCCTAAACTGCACGGGATCAGCCATGAATCTCCTGTTAGACTACATTATTAGGCCCTAAGAGGTGATGCAAATGTACATGTTTGATAGTGCAGTACCCCACCCAAAGAATCCTACACAGGTTGTAGGGCTCTGTCCTTTCCCTTCTTGAAGGGGAAGATGAGGTGCTTGACAACACAGAAACCATTTATCTACCTCAAACAGAACCTGAGCAGCTTTCTTATTTGGCATATTTGGCTTTCATTTGCATGGTCTTCCACTTCTCATTTACTGGCAGTAACACCTCCAGCACTAGAGATGCTATGCTATTTCTTGCAGTACAGCAGTTATTGCAGCCTTGTTCTTTGTGACTGGGCAGTGTTCAACTAACACTTTTGAGTAGGTAAGCTCTCTCTGGCCTTTATTTTAGGCTTGACATCTGTTGCTAGTGGGAAATGGCATAATGTTCCTAAAAAGCAAGAAAATGAGATGTGGCTTGGGAGATGAAATCTTGACTCTGCAACAAACTCACTAACAACAACACAGAGTTATACTTTTCTAAGGTCACTGAAGTCAATGGACTCTACTTAGGATAGTTTGGGGAGGATAGCCATGTTGGTCTGCAGTAGAAGAACGAGATTTGAGTCCAGTAGCATCTTAAAGACCAACAAAATTTCCAGGGTATAAGCTTTCAAGAATCAAAGCAGATGAAGGGAGCTTTGACTCCTGGGAAATCTGGTTGGTCTTTTAAGAAGCTGGTAGACTTCAATCTTGTTCTTCCACTGAGGACTGCAGTGTTAGTGGCCTTAAGCAAGTCTGTCTCTCTCAGCCTCAGCTCCCCATTTTCAACAAGGGAATAATACTGGCCTACTTTTTTAGGCTGTTGTAAGGACTGCAGCAAGATAATGTGCATAATGTGCACTTTGAACACCCTCCCCCATTTTTGTTGTTGGGAAGAAGGGGAGAAATTCAATTTTGCCAGGACTTCCAAGTTCAGTAAACTTCCATCTTATCCCTCCAGAAAAGAACTTTTCAGAGGATGGTAAACTTTAAAGGATGACCAGATAAGCCATTTTCCTACAAAAAGATATTTACCAGAAACACTGTCGAAGCTGATGATCTTGTTCATAAGAGCTGTGGAGAGAATGATCTCATCAAAGACAGGGACGCTGCCCCCAACGAGGCCAGTGTTACCCCCTTGAGGGTTCACAGCCAAGTTCCTCTCATTGCAGTACCTGAAAGGGAACACATTTTGCCCATGGGGGTCTTGTTCCTAAGGGCAAAGATGCCTTTGAACATTCAGTGCTTGTGAACCTCAAAGCAGTTCAAGACCTAAGGGCAATTGTAGACTGGTCGCTTCTACTGCATTTACTTTATGAAATTTTAAAATACATGGTAAAAGAACTATTAGTTAAGTAGCTTTCAAATAATGGGTCAAGACCTCTCATACCAATAGGTCATGAGGGGTTACAGATTACTGTGACTCTGCAGCAGGACTGGGAGTGCACTCATACACACAAATCCTTTTTTCTTCCAACAAAATTATATGGGAGAGTTTGCAGCTGCATGGAGTGTAAACTGGGCAGTACGTCTAGACAGTCGCAATGATTCTCGTGGTTGCCACAATGGAAGAAGGGTAGCTGAAACTGCAGAAGCACTTCCAGCTATCTCAACATTCTGCCTAGTTCACACTGTGTTGCCATGTGGTCACACACACACACACACACACAAAACCCCCAACATGGCCTGCATGCGTGAACTGTCCCTGAGACACTTGCGTGTTCCTTTGACTTAAACTGAGAGGTCAAATATTTGCAAGCAGCATTTTGATGGCAGAATCTGTTTTTAGCTTCCCCAAAGGACTAGACGTCACTTGTTATTTTGAACCACATGATCTATCTAGTTAATTAGTACCTGGGGTCTTTTCAAAGCCATTGAAGATTTTCCTTTTCTGACTGTTCAGATAGTAGAGCAGAAAACCACACAAGTTCATCCATGTTCCTACATAGTAACAGCCCTACACTCATCGACTACGAGTCTATCATAGAATCCCCAGGAATGAGGAATTGAGAAATAATTCTTAGTTTCAGAGGCACAATGTGTACACATTAGGAACTTTCATCCCCTTAAAATCCATTTTACATTACTTTATTTCCTTCAGTATTAAAGACTTAACGGCCATTCTAGCTAGTCATTCCAAAATGCAACATACCGGTAACTCCTTAACACTCTTTAGAGCCTGTACTGTTCATAACAGAACAAAGCTGAAGAAAATAAGGACTCATCTTTAAAGAGGATTCATAGTCTAGCTCCTGCACTGTGCATTTGATGCGCACAAAAGCTATTTGATTGCTTTTCTTCCTCCCAAAGTGCATCAGAGAAGATAAAGGTAACAGGAACTGTGGGATAGCATCACATGACTTAAGATAAGTGCTCCTGAACAAGTCTCTTCCATACCTTTCTTAAGTTCATGCAACTGCAGCTTAAATTACCTGAGAACCTCAGATACTTCCACTGTTGTCCGTGGCTTCAGCAACACTTTACTGTATCCTGTAACATAAACAAAATGTGATTTATATATATTTGAAGCTGTTCATGTGGCTGGCCTATACCATGTCTCCCATTCAGTCAAGTCATCCCCCCAAGGCACTACGTTTCTGAATCAGCCAGCATTAGGCAGGCTAAGACATGGTACACAGGTACAAAAGTGAATGCCAGTGTAGTAGACTGGTTAGAATGCAGAACTATGAATGGAAAGATCAAAGCTGAAATCCCTGCTCTGCAAGGAAGTACACTGGGCAACATAAAAGGAGCCCTGCTGGGTCAGACTAATGGCCCATCCAGTCCCACCAAACAGGGCATAGAAAATGAGGACTTTCCTGGATGTTGCCTCCTGGCACTGGTATTCAGAGGTTTACTGTGTCTAAATATGGAGGTTCCCTTTAGTCATCCTGGCTAGTAGCCATGAATCTATCCAACACCTTTTAATGTTATTTGTGCTTGTGGCCATCACACTGTCCATTGGCAGTGAATTCCACTTTAACTACTCAGTGACTAAAGAAGTATTTTGGTCTTTCTGATCAACTTCATTGGGTGACCTGGGGCCAGACATACTCTCTCACCTTAACCTACCCCACAAGGCTGTTGAGATAAAATGGAAGAAGAGAGAAAATGTCCATTATTCTGAGCTCCGTGGAGAACGTAAAATAAATATGTGATAGCAAAATGTCATTTTTTCATTGAAATGCATTTCTTTAAAAAAAGGAGGCCCGCAGAGTGCTATTAAAGAAAGACCCTGTAACCAGCTAGCATTGTTCAAGTCAAACTGCAACGTAACCTACCTCTCACAGTCTTCAGCCAGTCCACATTGAAGGGTTTCAACTCATCTTCATCAGTGATGACTCCGCCAGGCATAAGGCACTCAAAGAATGACAAATCTCGATCAGAAACATGGGCAAAGGGGAGCCTCTGCACCTCATATCGTTCACTAGTGAGCATCACTTCCTGGAAGCAAAGTGGTGTGGCATGCAGAGTTCTCTTGGTCACGTGGCTGTTGCCGCATGGGAGTTGTCTCCTCAACAGTTTTGTTTCTTTCTTCTTAAGAGGATACATGGCTGCAGAGCCCATCTGTATATTGAAAGCTTCTCTCAGATATCCAGTCTGCAACTTCAGTGGGGTCCAGTGGTGCCAACCCTGGTAGCGTCGGACCACGATGGAAGCAGCCATGGTTTACCTGCAGTTCAGAAGTAAGGTTAACACCCAGTGTAATTCTTTCCCTCCAAAAAGCACTCAAATCCAGATTTTTCCTTCCAATAAATCTTTAGTAGCTGAGGCAAATGTATTCCTTGACGAATGTAGAATAGCTTCATAATCCCCCAGCAAATGACAGAATAAATTTTGTTTATGATAGGATACCCAGGAAAGCTAAAGGCAAAGAGATGTTTTGGGGCATTTATATACATTTATACATCTCAGAGCACAAAGAGAACATAAGAACATAAGAGAACATAAGAGAAGCCAATGTTGGATCAGGCCAATGGCCCATCCAGTCCAACACTCTGTCACACAGTGGCCAAAAATACCAGGTGCCATCAGGAGGTCCAGCTGTGGGGCCAGGAAACTAGAAGCCTCCCATGCACCAAGAATACAAGTGGTCCCATAGAATACAATTACTCACACAAAATTATTTATTAAAAAACAACCCAGCAACTTTACCACACAGCAATAAAGTGCAACAGATATAAAGTTAAAGCAGTACATTACCCATGATACATGCAGGTTAAGGCACATTTAAATCAACACCAGCTTTATTTTTACATATATCCCTAGACACACCATGAACAGAACATTTCTCAGAATTTGTGGCATCCTGACTCCTCTGTGTAAAGTAGAATCACAGTGATATAGCCTTTGGCAGCAAAAAAGGAAGAAGAAAAAAGGAACCTTGTGACATGCTCAAATTTAACCAAGACCAAGCTTTCTTGATGCATAAGCTTTTGGGGGCCTCAATCAACTTTATCAGGCAGCATAAGAATGATGTTACAGTTTAATGAAAGAGGTAGTACCTTCCACTGAGGTTCCTCAGTCTGAGCAGGCATCCAAAATGCCCTTCATTCTGTCTTCCCACACCACAAGAGCCTTGCCCACATCACAATAATAAAGAACACAATTTTCTGTACATATATTCAATGTTGCATGGTTTTATAAACTTAAACACCCCATAGTACAAGGGGAAAGACACAGATACTCATGTCTTCTCAGCCTTTGTTCAAAAAAGCAGCTCAGACGGGGTGTTTCTCAGGGGGGGAAATGTGCAAGAAAACAGATAAACGGTCTCTGCCATTCCCCCTCAAATTTCCAAATAAAAATGCAGCTTTCAACAACTGCTTTGAGTTTTAAAAAGCAAAACCAAACAAAAACCGAGAAGGAAAAAAATTACAGACCTAAGAGCCAAGTGGAATTTGAACAGAGGGCTCCCTTCTCGATCGACCCAGAAAACAGAAATCAGATTTTCCAGACTTCTTCGTTCGTTGTATCTACTATGTACAGAGCAAAGGTTTTTCCTGGGTCAAATCCTTCCTTTAGCCCACAACAAGAAACGCCCTTGCAATTTGGTCTCCCCACTGAGTTATTAGCATTTTAAAGGACGGGGGATATATTTATGTTTAACAGACATTTCTTTTCCTCATAATATAAACAACGGAGCCAGTTTTGATTAGCGAAACTAATCGTTAGTTGAAACGCTACCTCTCCTTCCCTGCATGGAATTGATGCAATCTGAGGTTGCACGAGCAAGCAATTTACACTTTGTGCAGGGACAGACATGCGTGATTGTCCTCACTTTTGTTTCTGCCCAGTTCGCATATATCTCGGATCGGAGGCGGTTTGTTTGTAAGTAACTGAGGCTCTAGGCGTTATTTGGGTGCACTGCACCCAAACGCTTCAGGAGAGAAATTAGGCTACAATTCCGGATACTTAACTGGGATTAAAAGCACTTACTTTTGAGTAGACACACCGAGGATCGTACGTGAAACGATTAGCACCAGAGTGAGAAAAGAGACGGAACAGCAGAGTAGAGCTCACGTTTAACGCCGGGCTGGGAATGGCAAGCACCGGGCGACGCTGCGCTGACCTTTAACAAGGCCGAAGACAATTCGTGCATTTTCTTCTGCAAATGATCCAAGACATCTGCGGATCAACAGCGATCCCTCTCCTTTTCGTCCTCTCGAGACCAACTATAAGAAAGGCATTGTGGGAGTGTAAATAAAAAGGGACTGATACATAAGGTAGATTTCTATCGACGCATGCGTGTTACACTGGAAGGGGGCAGAGGAATCATACCTGTTGTATGTATGTAACTTGCAGGGCTCTAGTGGGGGGGGGGGGG